GGCCGTGTAGTTCAGTGGTAGAATGTTCCCCTCCTAAGGGAAAGGTCTTGGGTTCAATACCCAACTCGGCTACTGTCGTTACAATTTTTTTAGTTGAATTGCCCTCAGCTTAATTATTCAGGTTACCTGGTGTACACGACCCAAAGATGCTAACTTTGCCAAGTTCCGTAAGAAAGTATCTGTCATTTTCTGAGGGTATCAGCTCATTTTTCGACCATTTTATCATCCTTGTCCTCAGTATTACCTGTTGTCCTGTTAAAGTAGTATCCTTCTGTAGTATTATCCTATGTCAGTAACCAAACACGATTGGTTAGCGCTGGTTGCAAAGAGCATTGCGGGATCAACTCCGAGTAGATACCACCTCCCGAACACCAGGTTATGACTACGCTGTCGCTGTTCGATTGGGGCGACGTCACGATGACGAGGTATATATATACATATTATATGGGTCAAATCCCTTCATCATTCGTATGGGACAGCAAAAGTCCTTTTAGACTTGTCGTATCATGCCCGTCATCGCTTCGGCGATACGAGTGGTGTGCCCAGCGGCAACCCAAGGCTCTACTATGAGTAGGCACTATGGGCGGGAGGTTCAACACCTTCGACACCACTTCAAATCTATCCCTGCGCCGATACGACCTTCATGATGGGGAGATTGGAGAATGTGACAGAGAACACGGTGGTCGGACGCGTACTTGCTGAAGAAGTGTTTAGTAAGCAGTTATATATCTCTTTTGTTGCAAATATCTTCATTAAAATTCAATGTAATGATAAAGCCATCTTCAAGCCGCCACATCTGAGCGTCGCGACAGTTTATCTGCCTCTGCCGCCAGCGGCGGCCAAATACGCGGCCAGTGCCGCCATCGCCCTTCTGGCGGCCGGCGGCGGGTGATGACATTCGACATAAGCCCAACATTTGCATCCAGGTAGATGTGTCGACACTCTGGACATTAGTTCCTTCCACTGACGATGACCGCGTCGCCGTTAACTGCCGTTTCTTGGGCTAATGCCGGACGGAATCGGGACAGGGCAATCCCGACTCAACCCGGTAATGCGAAGCAAAAGTGCAAAAAACGACAGCCCGTCAAACCTCCTTCCGTCCCATTCCAAGCACCCCCACCCGTCTTCATCATGTTCCGGCTGGCCTCTCGGTCGACTCAACCCTTCGCGTCCGTTGTCAGGGTGTCTACGCTGGTGAGGACTGAGACGATCCTAGGGTCATCATCCGTGAGGATACGCGATGTGGAAGATGAAGGCCAGATGTGGACGAGTGGGGAACGATCAGGGGGGTGAAGAGAGCGAGGCCGTGGACACACGACTGCCCGGGAGTCCGCGCGCTCCGGCGCGGTCGCGGCGGCCTGGCTCTGGCCTGGCTCGGGCCGACTCCTTTGCCATTTTCGATTTTGACGTCGCAAGCTTGCTAACCTGCTGACGCTCCCAACCCACGCCATCGCGATCCACCACCGTTATTTCGTCAGTCCGCAATGCGCCCGATTTCATCCAAACCCGTGAGTGGATCTCTTTTGCAGCGGAATGCGCGAGCTGGAGTCTGACTTCTGGCAAAGGGCGAACACCGCGTCGAGCGCGACACATTCGGCGACCTCGAGGTGCCGTCGGATCGGTACTGGGGTGCGCAGACCCAGCGGTAAGATAATTGTTTTAATGAAACGCGGCGGGTTGGGGAAGACCAAGGGTTGTGGCCTTGAGAGTGCGAAGATGTGCCCATTTCATTGGCCGGTCCTCATCTTACCTTACCCACAGATCCCTCCAAAACTTCGACATTGGCGGCGCTACCGAGCGCATGCCGGAGCCCCTCGTCCGCGCGCTCGGCTACATTAAGAAGGCCGCGGCGCTCGTCAACATGACCCACGACGGTCTCGACAGGAAAATTGGGGACGCCATCGTGAAGGCATCGGACGAGGTGATCGCGGGGAAGTTACACGATCACTTTCCTCTCGTCGTCTGGCAGACGGGTTCTGGGACGCAGACAAACATGAACGCGAACGAGGTCATCTCGAACAGGGCCATTGAGATCCTAGGCGGGGAGCTAGGGAGCAAGAAACCCGTGCATCCGAATGATCATGGTTAGTGTTGTGCAGAGGTGGGATGGCGAAGTCTTGGTACGGCTCTAACGCTCGAACCAGTTAACAAGGGCCAATCCTCAAACGACACTTTCCCCACGGCTATGCACGTCGCCGCCGTCGACGAGATCCATCACCGCCTCCTCCCCGCTCTCGAGAAGCTCCACGGCGCACTCGCGCAAAAGTCGGATTCCTTCAACCACATTATAAAGATCGGCCGCACCCACCTCCAGGACGCCACGCCCCTGACCCTGGGCCAGGAGTTCTCGGGGTACGCGAAGCAGGTTGAGTACGGCATTGAGAGGGTCAAGGCGACGCTGCCGAGGCTTTACAACGTCGCGCAGGGTGGAACCGCTGTTGGGACTGTATGTATTGCGTTAGTGGAGGCGAGATGACAATTGATGGCATTTCTTTAGGGCTTGAACACCAAGAAGGGCTACGACGTTAAGTTCGCCTCCGAGCTCGCCTCCATCACGGGCCTCCCCTTCCAGACCGCGCCTAATAAGTTTGAGGCACTCGCCGCGCACGACGCCATCGTCGAGGCCCACGGCGCCCTCAACGTGCTCGCGGCCTCCTTGAACAAGATCGCGAACGACATCAGGCTGCTCGGCAGCGGGCCCCGGTGTGGTCTTGGAGAGCTTAGCTTGCCGGAGAACGAGCCCGGGAGCAGCATCATGCCTGGGAAAGTAAACCCGACGCAGTGCGAGGCCATGACGATGGTGTGCGCGCAGGTTATGGGGAACAACGTCGCTTGCAGCGTCGCGGGGGCGCAGGGTGCTTTTGAGGTACATTGTCCTGTCCCTTATCGATATTTTTCTTTGCGAGGCCGACTCACCAATTTCTCTGTAGCTCAACGTCTTCAAGCCCGTTATGATCCGGAACCTCCTTCAGTCGATTCGTCTGATCGCGGACGCGTCCGTCTCCTTTACGGACCATTGTGTCGTCGGGATCAAGGCGAACGAGGGCCGGATCAAGAGCCTCATGAACGAGTCCCTCATGCTCGTCACGGCCCTGAACCCTTACATCGGCTACGACAGTGAGTATCTACTTCTTAGTTGTCAATGGAACTAATTTGTTGTTTGTCAATTTCAGACGCCGCCAAGGCCGCGAAGAAGGCTCACAAGGAGGGTACCTCGCTCAAGCAGGCGACTATCTCGCTCGGCCTCCTCACCGAGGAGGAGTTTGAGAAGTACGTCAGGCCGGAGCAGATGATTGGGCCCTCGGAAGCGGCCAAGCTGTGAATCCCGTTAACTTTACGGCCCCATCTTTTGTGATGACGTTGTAGTTTTTGTATTGTTATATTCTCATCTTCGTCCTTTGACGGAGCCCGACGTGACTCCTCGCTTGGCGCATTGGTGTCTCATGTTGTAATTTTATTCACTGACTCTCACTATGTCCCAGCTGCTGATTTCAATTTTTCTTTGTTTTTTTTTTTTAAGTTTTCAAAATTAATTTACAATAAAGGAAGTGATTTCTGACGGAGAGTTGTGGCTGGTTGTCATCTCTTTCTGCCAGTTTAAAATCTAGGAGCTCGTGGTACCATGGCTGTTTATTGTTTCGTGAAAGCTAATTATTCGAACGAGGAGCACAAAGAAGGGGAGATACATATTCAAGTAAGGCGAAGCAATTGCATAGGCGAAGAAAGTGGAAGGAGCAGCAAATTAAAATCCGATGAATATGTATAGATCTGATAAATACAACCCACTTCTGGCAAAGAGATCGCACCCAGACGATCTTCCGAGTTACTCCTTCTTAGCGTCCTCCACGGACGTCGGCGCCTCATACCCCTCCAGCACCATGTCGTTCAGCCCCAAATCCTCATTCTGTTCATGCGTCCGGTCATAAAACTCAATCTCCATGTTCGGGTCCGGGTCCGGCGCGTAAAGGTTCTGCAGATACTATACAAATCGATTAGCTTCATGAGTTATATCTTTGCGACGAAGATAAACTTACGGAGTTTGCTAACGGGTCATCCAAAATCAACGTATAAGGAATCTCTAACGCGATCGCCCTCCTCAATCTTCCCAAAAACGCCGCAAACGCCTTCTTTCTGGTTTCATCCGCCGAGTCTCCGCTACTGAAAGGCGCCCGCTCGGCCAGCTCATCATGCACCTGCCTCAACAAACCCTCGACGGTCGTGAAACGTCCACCCAGCGTCCCGCTCGTCAACTCCAATTCCAGCTCCGGAATCTCCAGACCACACGTCTCGCTCTTGAGGATGTCGCGCGAGAGGTCTTCGGTGTCCTCCATCTTCAGCTTAATGCGACGCCCCTGAGCGGAGATGGCGCCGCCGGCTTTCACCTCGTTGGACTTGTATCCGCAGGATTCGCAGTCAGTGGCCATGATGACGACCTCCTTGAAGTGTGGAATGTCCAAGATATGCATACGGGTGTCGCTGGGCCCGTTGCACCTGCTGCAGTTACCGGGGAAAACATGCACCTCCCCCCTTAGCTCGGCCAGATCCGCGTCCTCCTGCTGGTCTGCCGTTAGACCCGCGGGGGTATCGGTGATGGTAGGGTCGTGTGTGAGCCCCAATTCTTCATCCTGCTGAGGCGTGCGTGCGTAGTGCCGAAGATGAAGATTTGGATCACGGCGGGGCGCGTGCGGGTTCTCGATAAATGAGTTTCCGGAGGGGTCGTCGAGATGGATTGTGAAAGGGTTTGCGTCGGGGCGATCAAGGTAGGACTGGAGGGTGTCGATGACGCGTTGAATGGCGTCGTGAATGGATTCGTCGATGAGCTGTGGAGATGATATGAATGGTTGCATTAGTTATGACCAAGGGTGTGTAAAAAATGGGAGAATTGAGAGGGGAAGTCGATTGCCGGTTGAGTTATAAACGGGTGATTAAATTATGAGAGACGCGAGAATTAGGGGGGTTGTATCATCGGAATAATTATGACAAACGGGCGAATTAGAAAAACATGCGAGAAACACAAAAATAAAACGAAAACGCAAGAAATACCTTGCGCTGCGGTTGGAGGGCGGACAGAC